CATGATAAAATGCATGGAAACAGCACAGGACACGTCTTGCATGGCAATACAACGATGGCTGCCGTCGCATATAAGCTATATACTGTAGCTACAACACTGAATAAACATGAGCTTGTACATTAACAGCGAAAGTTTCTATATTGATTTGTTTCACCGGTGGATTATTTTTACACCATCCTTAAGACACGACTAAAAGGGACTGTCCCTGAATGAAAGTCTGTGTATTGTTGTTGTTGTTTTTTTTTGTCTTTTTGCTGTTTCTATACAGTCACTGAACATCCCCGCTCTCTGATTAACGTATCCGCATTTAAATAAACGTAAACGTTTTTCTTTTTTCTTTTTTTTTTACTCTGGTTATGGTCTGTGGAATTTGCATTTTATAATCTTCTTGAAAGCGTTTTGGAAGTCTTTGTTGAAGTAGGCATATATGATGGGGTTGAGGAGAGAGTTTGAATAGCCCAGCCAGTTTATGACTGCGCCCAGCCACTCGGGCATGTAGCAGCTCTCTGCACAGAAAGGCAGTACCAGTGCAACGATGAAAAAGGGCAGCCAGCAGAAGATGAAAGTTCCCATAATGATGCCGAGTGTTTTCACCGTTTTACGTTCCCTGGCCAGCGCGATCTTTCTCTTCGCCCCCGAGTTCTTTTCATTCATGTTTTCATAGCCGTGCGAGGAGGACTGAGGAGTGTTGGGCAGAGGCAAGTGCGTCTTTGAGTTGCTGATAACTTCTATGATCTCCAATGATTCGCCCTCGTCTCCATGCTTCACCGCGCCATTTACGCACGGAGAGCTGGATTTAGACTCATCCCCGCGCTTCCAGCCTTTGCCGCCGGTTTCTCCGTTGGTTTTCTTGTGAAAGATGGCCGGAGACACACTCAAGCACTTTTCTGACACTTTTGCTTTCTCTGCTTTCTTCACTGTCTTTCGAATCCGAAACCGAGCAGCTCTGAATATTCGTCCGTATAGAACTAACATGAGGATAAGAGGGATGTAAAAAGCTCCAAACGTAGAATAGATGGTGTAGCCCGGGTCCTGGCTGATCATGCAGGCGTCGGGGTTTGCCCTGTCTTCGGCGCTTCTCCAGCCTAACATAGGCGGAATAGAAATGGAGAAACCAATTAGCCAAGTGACGCTAATCAAGAACGCAGCTCTCCTTGGTGTCCGTTTATTTACATAGTCAATAGGGTCCGTTATGGCCCAGTACCTGTCCAAAGCAATTGCGCACAGATGCAGGATGGATGATGTACAACACAGTACATCCAGAGAGATGAATAAATCACAGATCTCCTGCCCCAGAGTCCACTTGTTTAAAACCTGATACAGGGCCGCCATTGGCAGGACCAGCACAGATACCATGAGGTCTGTCACGGCCAGGGATCCGATCAGATAGTTGGCCACATTCTGGAGAGATCTCTCCAGGGCGATGGCTGCCACGACGCACGCATTGCCAAATATGGAGCAGAGGATGAGGGCCCCCAGGAGCATTGAGGTAATAATCTGGTAACTTAGCACCAGATCTGGAAGAGACCCGGACCCCGTGCCATTCTCACCCCCGTTCCAGTCGGCAACCACGTCCCCCCCACTGGGGTAAACACTGGTCGCGTTGCTGTCGTTGTTGCTTGTGGTTATAAAATCCATAATGCAACCACACTCAGAGCGAAACTTTTCCCAAAGTAGTGGGGAGTAGTGGAAGAATAAGCAGGAGTCAGTCAGCCCCCTCAGACTGCTGCTGCCGCTGTGCGTTTTACCGGGTCCATCGGAGTTACCGGGCTCGTGCTGTCGCTCTCAGGACGCATGACGCAGACGTGCTTGTGAGTGCGTGTGAGGGGGCTGTGTATGTTGTAGCCCATGAGTGTTGACAGCCGGGTGCGCACACTGGTACTGCGAATCATCTGAGCTTGGTGACGCCGTGAATTCATTTATACCAACAGCTTTAGGTACGTCAGACCGGGAGGAGGTCGTCCTGGAGGTTTGTGCCTTTACTCTCCCTGTTGCTCAGTTTTTCATCACAGACCGCCGCCGAGGGTGCAGAGAGCTACTGTCCTTTTTGTATCTCCTTTATTTTACTCTTTGGACTCACTGAAAAAAGTATTTTGTTTATTTATTCATTTTTTAAAGTTTAGTTTTAGCCTTCATCGGAAAGGGTTGGTATCAGCCAGAACCAGTAACCAGGAATTTTTCCTTTCTTTTTTTTAATATAACGAGATATCAGAAAATTAACTATCAAATGAAGCAAATTTGTCGTTGGGCTACCTAAGACGGATACATTTTAAAAAAGAGTATCTATCGTCCGTTCCCATGAAGTTTTTGTGTAAAGCAACTTCGTTTGAAACGGATCTTTAAAAAATATTTTAAAACAGTTTGAACTAGAACCGAGTAATTCGTAAAGCGTGCTTACGAGTGGAGCTTTGCAATTTTGATGTGAAAGGGAGAAAAGTTCAAATGTCCAGAGCGCTGAGAGAAAATAGTTTCAGGACCAGGAACAGCTCCTCTGCAGTCCTGAAAGGAATGCTGCTGCCCTCTGCTGTACGCGAATGATATTGCACCAAATGGTGGACGTTGCTCCATCAGCGCATATGAGTTCAGGGTAGGTTGTGTGAGTACATTACAGGAAGGAGGGGGTTCCCTTGAAAACAGCTGTAGCCGTTGCCTTGTGTTCAAGTGTATTCGAGCCAACAAATAATGTCAGCTATGAGTCAGAGTGGAGTCTGAATAAACGCAGTTAGTGAGGAACTTCTCAAAGGGGAGGGATGGAGGCTGTGGGTGAGTGTCTGTTATGAGGTGATTGTATGAAAGATGAGTGAGTCTAAAAAACGTATTTAAAAAAATCTTAAAAGTTCTCATTGGAATTCCACGCAGAGGCCCTAAGGCCAGGTGATAATTAAACATTTAAAAAGAAAAGATATTTAGATGCAAAATGTCAATTTAGGAAAAGGGCCATGAAGTGAAAATTGCAAAAGCTAGAAATGACAAAAGCTTAAATGGACAACAAAATGTGTACAAACAGAGCAGATAGTGGGCAATTTCTATTTTCTCTATTTGTTGAAATACGTTTTTTCCTACAAATTACAATTACAATCCTAATTTGGGATAAGACTCATCCAACATCCCAGCCTGTGCCTCCAGGTGCCCCCCCCTCCTCCCCACCAAAGATAATACTCAACATGTTTGAAAAAACTCCAAAGTTCTGTTTTAAAAAAACCTTGTTCTGCATTCTTTTTGTTGGATGGTTTCAGTTTTTAGACACTTAACTTTGACTTTAACTGCGAGAATCTGCTGTGTTGGTTATACTGGAGTTTAAAATCAAAATGGATGTATTGTTTTCCCATCCCTCTGAAGCTTCTGAAATACCAGTACAATGATTAGATTAGAAAGTCTCATGCTCTTTCTGTATAGTACTTCCAGTGTGTGTGGAAATCAGCTGACACGACACAGGTAAATATAGCCTTGTGTTAAATTTGAAGGGGGAGGGTGTGCAAGGATGTTTTAAAACATATTACCACTTTCAACCAAAGAGTGGTGAATCAGAAAGAACAAAAAAGTAAATCAAACTAAAATTTGGGGTTGTCACTGTGCCATAAATGGCACTTGTTCTCTTCCTTTTTCAAGGTACTTGGCAGGTAGGTTGTACAAAGCATCTTTGAGTGCTTGCCACTGTTCTTTTGTATAACATCTGACTTTTATTTGTCTCTTGATGTAATTCCAGATTGACTGCTTGGCATTGAGGGAGCCACTCAATTTTCTCAGAATGTCAGCGAAACCAAAATCTAAGTAACAGAAGTACTTATTAAAATGACAATTTTATCACAGACAGACACCTTTAAAGGGATACAAATCACCCTTTCTTGTCATTTGTCTTTGAAACAATTAGACATGACAGTCACTGCAAAAATGATAAAAGCGTGTAATAAAAGCTAAGTGCTGAAAAAAAACGAGGATAAATTTAGTGCTTTCATTTAACTGCTCTATAAGTGATGGATAAAAGATCAGATTGCCAGGAAATGATAAATACATTAAAGAGACAAGACACTAGACTGACGCAACAAACTGACAAAACAACTTGGCAAAAGATGAGAGGAAATGTCAAGAATACAATGAGAATGAAGGAATAGAAAACAGGTGAGGGAGGTGTGAAGAGCCACCTTCACAATGGGAAAGGGTGGAAAGGATGATTATTTTGATAAATACTAATATATAACTTCATGTAATAACCTTTTTAATAGAACCTCAGTTATAAAGCAGGCTCTTTAATTTCCAGTTGTTGGGATTTTGTCTGATTGTTGGATTTTCCTCTGTATCATTGTCACATCTTTACCCTACAGTATAAAGCACCTTCAGGCAACTGTTGTTGTGATTTTTGCCTATATAAATAAAAATGCATTTAATTGAATGATTTTCATGCAGATCTTTTTTGAATTCAGGAAAAATAAATTCTGCTATGCTAGACCACTGAAATGCTTTAACAAGGAAGCAGCAGCAGCAACACACACACACACACACACACACACACACACACACACACACACACACACACACACACACACACACACACACACTGTGCTGTGCTTATCAACCAGTAAGTGAAAAAAGCTGACACCACGGTTGTGGGCATGAGGGGGAAAAAGGTGGCTCTGGCTATTTCACTTGGTTTTTGTGAGTCTGCTGGTTCCATAGTGGTGTGCTTTCTATAGGTCATGAAGGACAATAGCAAGGCTGTTAACAGTGCACCTATTGCAGTGGGGCACACTATGGGGACTTTGTCTTTGTTAACAGAGTGGAATGCCCCAGTGGGCTAACAGGGGCAGGATAGAGAGCACCACTGCTCACCACCTCTGCACTCGAACAGTCCCTGAAGCTCTTAAAAAGAGCTTCAATCTATACATCCAGAAGAAGTGGGGAAGAAGAGCAGGAAAAGGATGACAGGGAAAAAACCAGGCTAACTGGGTGAAGTTGCTTCAGATGTCTTCCACTGGTGGGCGAGGTGCTTTGAATGAGCCATGATGAGCTCCCATGTGGGAGCTTCTAGTGTAAATGTCTCGAACAGAGTTGGATGTAGCGAAGCTGAGGATGCTGGTGAGGAAACCAGTACTAATGAGACTCACACACCAAAAGTGGAGAGATCTAGGCAAAGGAGTGTAAATCCAGCAGGCGAGGGAAGGTCAAGCAATGTGCTGGTGAGACCTGTGCTGTCAGGTGGAAAAGCACGCAAAAAGACCTGCAGTGAGGACAACAAAGGAAGCTGGAGAGAGCAAAACCAAGACAGGGGCGAGGAGACAATAACTGCTGGAGATTTGGAAGGCAGAGAAAGAGGGAAAAGCATGGAAAGAAGAATGGCGGAAAGAGATGAAACACATGGAGATGAAGCACAGTATAGACAGAGAAGAGAAAGCACTGGAAGTTTGTCAAGTAATAATTCTGATCATCAGTTAAACAACATTTTGGAACTTGGAGAAGGATCGAGCAACTTGCAGAGAGGACACACCTGCTCTCGACTCCAGAGCACTGGCTGCAACTGGACCTTCACTTCCAGTTCAAACGCACTGTCCCGTCGGCCTGCTGCTCATACCAGGTCCATACCCCGGTCACCTCAGAGACCTTTATCCAGACCAGCTGCAGGAGACTTGCACCTCTACTCACTAAGTTCATTCAGGGAGCCAGATCCATTCTGGGTGGAGGTGAGACCAGGGTCAGCACCTGGGCGATCTTTGACCTTCTATGAGCTAAGAGGGGAGGGAGAGGATGAGGGTGATGAAGAGAACGTGGAGGATGGTGATGAAGGAGGCAGCGGGGTGGTAAGGGTGATGAGTCAAAGCGTGACCTCAGCAGTGGCACAACCTTGTGTTCCTTGTGAGAGGAGGATGAGTAAAAGGGAGAGGAACAGGATTAAAAGTCTGAGGAGGAGACAGCGAAGAAGGGAGAAATGGAGACAAAATCAACAGCAAGAGAGCAGACAGGTGACTGGCACTGCACACTGACATCACAGAGGTTTAAGTATCACCACGAGATGAGTCACAGAGGCAGTTATTAGATCACTAAATGATTTAGTAATTACTAGATCCAGTAATTAATACCCAGGATAAATTTTTTTTTAATATGTAGTCTTTATGGACTTTAAGGATTAAAGACACACCAAATAACAAATGTTTTTAACTGAGTAAGTCCTGAGATTTATACTCAGGACTTACTCTTACTAAAGAAGTATTTATAGCACAACATGGCAGGTATATGTAGTAAAGAAAGAAAGAAACAGAGGCTGCATGCACATAATCACGTGGTACAAAACAACAGGTACAAACATTAGGCCTGTTTCTGTTTTGTTGTTGTTGGGGCTTTGTTTTTGTTTTTGTTTTTTTGCACTGCATCTATTTTTCACTGTTTTTACTCATGGTACTTTATATTACAGCATACACGTGTGTGTGTGTGTGTGTGTGTGTGTGTGTGTGTGTGTGTGTGTGTGTGTGTGTGTGTGTGTGTGTGTCTGTTTGTTTCATCTAGACTCTGGCTCTCAAAAGCTATATCAGCAACCAGCTCATTTCAATAGCCATTGTGTGCGTGGTTTAAAGTGGGGTTACATCTGAATTAGTTGCATGATGAGGCTTGGGCAGAGAGCCCTTCAAAACCGACCAGACAAAAGAGCAGATTCCATTTTGATTGGCTGCTGCAGAGCTGCAGTCACGTTGGCAGACTGAAATTACTCTGACTGCTCTGTTACCGAAAGTCAAATTAGTGTCTTCAACACTTTCGTATGATCGATTTCCTAATCCTTTGTCCTCCTACAGACTGTGCTGTTTTTAGTTAAGATATTCCTATCTGTTATTCATTGGACTTGGTGTGTAAATAAACTGGGTCATGCAACAGGACCTTAGCACACCAGCAAATTTGCTAGTATGGCTGAAAAAGAAAGGAAGAAAGTCCAGACCTACTCCCAAATAAAATGCTGTCGTGGGACCTGTGCATGAACAAATGCCTGCAAATCTGAGTGAACTGTAGCAACGCTGTAAAAAAGAATGGCTCAGATTTCCCCCACAATGATGTGAGAGACTGATAAAATCACACAGAAAGCCATTATTTAAACTTACTGCCGCTAAGAATAGTTTTGCAAACTACTGAATGATAGGGTATGCTTGGTTTTTCATACGCTGTGTCGCCATTGCTGTATAGGCTTGATAAATAGATAACGATACTGTAGCATATAATGTGTTGTCGTTCATCTGAAGCTGATAGACTCTAGCAAAAACCAAATGATTTCTTCTTTTTTTTTTATTATGTCCTAATAATAAAAAAAAATAACGGATTTTCAAATAGGTTTGAAGGCGGGTGCATTTTGGTGTACACTGGATGAAGCCAGCTAGCTTCTTCCTTCTGCTTCCATTTATCCTAAGCTAAGCTCCTGCTCCACACCTAGCACACCCTTGTATATTGATGTTCTCAGCTAACTTTCAGGAAAAAGGCATTTTTTCCTTAGACTGATAAAGACATTGAAAACCCAACATATATTCAATATGTTTTTAAACAATTACTTTTGTTACCCAGTACCCATTTCTTGCTCATTTATCATGTTGAATCTTTATTTCCATTTATCAGCTCTGTGAAAATTGAATTTCAGAAATTTTGCACTTATTCTCGATTGGGAGAATATAAAAACCTAGAACACACGCTGCTATTGGGCACACTGGTCAAATACCCTGGTTTAGATTTTGGATTTTCACAATGTGTTTTATCAATATTTTGTACAATACAGAATGTTTTACATTTTTTTTAATCCCCTTTTTAAACTGTCTTAACTTACTGCATTCATGTGGCTGCCTTCTTGGTTTGTGCTGGCTTGTTTGAATTTGTTTGTGAGAAAAGTGTCGTAGGACAAAGCTAGAGGAGATGCTGTTGTATAAAAACAAACCACAGGATGTGATTTCATCCTGAGTAATGCAGAGACGTTTAGTGCTGGCTTGTTTCCAGCTGCTGGAAAAAAGCTAAAATGTGGTTTTAGCTGCTGTTCTGCAGAAACACATTTTGTGAAGGAAATGCAAATTGTTTGTGGTGCAGCAGCGCTATCAAATAGAGCTTCACTCAGTTATAGGTCTATCTATAAATTAGCAGTTTTTTTAGTCTAAACTTTGGTTCTGTATGTCATAGAGCACACTCTTATTCATTTATATACCAGTATATGATTGTAACCTGGACAAAACTGGCATGTCACCATACATGTTGCCAGGAGAGCCTCAGCATCTATGCTTACTTAGACACCCTGTGCTCTGTGTTCTCTCCTCTCTTTAATGACACACCTTGGGAGGATGGGCTGATGTGACTGGGAAGTCCCTGGAGCTCCCCCAGGGTGAGAAAATAGTAATTACTTTGGAAACACCCCCAGGATTCTTTTTAAACAGTGAAGCTTCAATTCTCAGGGGTCTGCCAACACAACACGTGTTTGAGGAGGCGGTGGGTGACTTGGAAAGCCCTAGCTACTATTTTAAAAAAAGAGCTTTTGTTACATCATGGAGTTATAGCTGGAATTTGGAACCATAAAAAGTGAGTGATGAGGATAAATTAACTGTTGAGGAGAAGAGAGGAAGTAAGGAAAGAGTGTAGCAGATGCTCTGCATGATGAAAGAGAATACTAACCAGATCCAAAACCCACCTTCTGTTTTTATCCAATAGAGGTTAAGAGGGCTCATAGTAGGGCTTAACTGACAAACTGCAACAGATATAAAGTGACACATCCTAAGATGCACCTCTATTGGTTTTCCATGAAGTAATAGGAGTTTGAACTAATGCCTATGATGGGTCAGAATGCTCTCTCTAACAAACAATGTTTATGCTTTACAGTAAGATGTGTGAAAATGTAGGTAGGCAGACATTTCACTTGACTGAACTCACACCTGACACCCTCATGTCCTCACACATATTATTATGCTGTTTGGATGGGTGTCAAAGAGGGTTACATTCATCAAAAGAGAAAAGAAATTCAAATAGAAGAGAACTGTGAAAGAGGACATTTTCACTTATATTTAATGCTAACTGGTAGCATCTTGTAGTGATAATTTATACTTAACATCTCATACGTGAAGGGTCAAATCTCTGGATTGCTCTCTCTTATTGCTGTTATCCAATCCTAGGCAAGATACTAATATAACTGTCTCAGAGGTTAGTCCATACAGCCAAAACTGTGCAAAAATGGGTTTTATCATTCTAATATTGGAGCTTTAAATATGCACACATGCAAACATAAGCAGGTTTGTGGTCACACAAGAAAAGATATTTTTAACAATTAAAATGTTCTTTTCTACTTCTGTTTTTTCCCAGAGTTCAACAGGAAACCCATCCAGCAGCAGCAGTGAGGACGATGAGGCCCTGACTACCGGGGACAGAGAGGGCTACATCTGCGCTGTCTGCTTGGATGTGTACTTCAGTCCTTACATGTGCCACCCGTGCAATCACATCTTCTGTGAGCCCTGTCTTAGGACGCTGGCTAAGAACAGCCCCACTAATACCCCCTGCCCCCTGTGCAGAACAATCATCACACATGTTTTCTTCCAAAAAGGTGAGATGATGAGCAAGGACCACTTACTGTATAATCACTTAATCAAACTTCCTCAGCACTAAAGACTGAATAAAGCAAAAAACAACTTCATGTAAAAATCTGACATCAAAGACAAACGATTTCAGCTATATTTTTATTCCTATGTTGGCTGCTACACAACATCTAAGCTGCAGATTGTTCAGAGGGCCCAGCTGCAGATGTCCCACAGGGAGCAGAGTAGACCTAAGTTCAGCTTTGACCAGATGAGTCACTTAGACTGAGAAGACAAAATCAAACACAGTCTGAGCACTTTGATTCGGTGCTTTCTAATGGAAATAAGAAGTAGTATTCCCCGTGGGTGGAAATGAACTGTAATAATAGGAGCAGATGTTTTAGGGTTTCTTTAAACCAGTAAAAAGTGGAACCCTAAAGCTGTAGGGAAACCTTTTCACCACAATGTTAAGCAGTATAATAGTAGTTATTACTGTAATAATATATGTATTGTGTATATTTCTGTGGTGTGTGCTAACAAATGTATTTTGTCACCTTGGGATAATTTATTAGATACAATTTTGGTTTGATTTTGGTCAAATTTATGAATCACTGAAAAACTTTTATTCTTCATCCCAGCCTATTTCTAGATGTATATAGTAGCATGGATTAGATGGTGAGGAGGACTGTAGAAACACTGAGGGCTCTTGTTAATGATTAGATGACAAGATTAGACTGTCGTGTTGATTACCAGAGCCAAGGTCACAGAACAAGGAGATAATCAGAGAAGCAAGTGACGCTACATGTGCTGTTAGTGAATGTGTTGAGTAAACCAAACATATCTAGCCAAGCTATGAAGAAGTGATTAAAATGGTCGGGTTTTTTTTATTGCATTAACTTTGTGTCTTTTTTAAAATATGTATTTATATAGAGCTAAACCAAACAGCAAGAACATTCTTTCCAAAGGAATACCTTTCCCGGAAACAGAACTTTCAGAAAGCAAGCTGTGCAAAGTGGCCTCTCCCGAGCTGCAGAAAACTCTTCCGCATCTTTGGAGGCAAGTTTTTAATTCCCTCTAAAGTGGGGTCATATTTAAGCAACGTCATCTGCAACAACAGCAAAACTATATAAAGATAAAGCATAGCTAGTATTTTATGAAGCTGCACTTAAAGAGCGCTGTTGTTTGTGACTTTTGACAATATGACGCGTGTATGCTGTGCTACCTATTTATCGTAATTGTACCTCAAGGCCTCACAGAAGACTAAAAATAATCCTGTGCACTTTTCATTTGTATGAATTTGTAAATGTCTTCAATAGCAGCTCTAGTTGTATCAAAATCTGTCGTCTAACATTTATCAAAACACTGAGGTTATGTGTGTTAATTACCCCAGAGGAAATTGTTGCTTTTTTAACTACACAAAATGACTTATTTCTCATTTAAACCAGGCTTCCAGAGGCAGTCGAGTCCCATTGCTAGACGCCAGTTCCCCCACGGAGAAGGCTACCCTCTGGACACCATGGATTTCGAGGATGACACTCGTGGCTGGCGATTTGACATGGACATGGTCATCATCTACATCTACTCAGTGAACTGGGTTATTGGGTTCTTCATATTCTGCTTTCTTTGCTATTTCTTCTTCCCCTCTTTTTGATGCCCTGGCAGAAATTTTGGGGTAACATAGAAATAAGGTAAGGCTGAAGATAAATTTGGGGTGGGTGGGGGTAAAGGGGAGTGAGGACATAACATAAACATGATGCAGCGAGCATGCAAAGGGGGGTCAACTTAAGCTGTAAAGGTTTAATGAAAACACAGTGAGTGAATTTCAAGCAGGTGAGGAGGTGTAGTAGAGGAAAACCATCAGTGTGCTAGCTTCACATCTCTAATAAATCACTGAAATAAGGAAAATCCAGTGTTCTCAGTTTTGTGTCTCAACATAACGAACAGCATGTTAATATAACATGTTAGGCTGCAGTGTTTCAACATGATCCCATTACACTTTTCAATGCCTAAACTTTTGTTTAACAGCACAGCCACTTGAACTGTTCCCAGTGTGATTACTTTTCTAATGTCCAAGGACATATTAATTTCAATGTGAAATTTTTAATTACCAACTTCCATCCACTGCAGACACTTCATTTTTAAGATGTGTTACTGTTGGTTAAACATATTGTAATGCAGCAAACACTCAATGCAAAATAAGTTTAAATTGCATCCTTGTTGCATTCCTGTAAATGGAATTAACCAAAATAATGAGCAGATCTTAGTTAAAAGAAAACAGACTGATGAGGGTCTAATAAGACTGTAGAGGTTGGATATCGCAATAAGAAAAACGAAACGAAACGTTAGAAAAACACACAAAAAAATGTGCTTTAAGGTATGGGAACATTCATTTGTGGTTTCATGAATGCTTTCCCCAACATATTACTAATGCTAATAATGCTTATACCTGATGGGGGCACCATGATGGTGGTGAAGTGCTCAGTACTGCTGGTTCTGGTTTTAAATGGTCTGGTCAGGTGAGGACTTTCTGTTTAGTTTGCATGTTCTTCCTGTTTCCCTTCATGCTCCCTCCCTTCTCTCTGGTTTTCCTTCCACAGATTTGGATGTTAGGTTACTGGTGAGTCTATATTGGCTACATGCATGTTTAGTTTAACTTATTACAATTTATATGAAATAACATTTAAACTTCATACAGGTTTGTAGATGCAACAAATTTTTATTTAAGACATTTTAGGTCATTTCTATTTTTTGCCAAAGAATTCACACATCTCACACATCTTACACATTTCAAACTTTTAGTTTGGGATATAAAAAACTCCTTTATTTGAACTTTTTCTACAAGTTTCCATTATTTCTATAGCAGCTTCATATAAAGTATGCACCAGGCTTTTAATCTCAGTGTGGATGCATTGCTCACAGCTCTAAAACTAAACATTAGTCAGTGCTGCTTAGCTTGCTGTAAATGATGGTTTAAGAAAATCTGTGTTTATTACATACTTCTGGTCCACTTGCCCCATACATTTCAATTTTAAATTATTTAGATCAACTTACATTGCATAAGGCTCAGAGACAAGTGTTTTTAGCTGGTTTCAGAGCTGCTAAGAAGTTGATTGCCACAAGGTGGAAACTTCAAATGCTCATTTGGCAGCAATGGCTGCTCACTTTCATGGATGTGCTTATCTTAATTAAACTCTCCATAGCCTAAATCTGTGGAGCTAAAGAAGGCGTAGTTAAACTTTAGGCCCAAGCTGTGGAGAATCTTAAATCTTTACTGAACCGATTGCTTCATTGGTCTCTGCTCTCTAGCCGTTCATCTCCCATTTTTTGTCTTGCCTCCTTTTGGACAAGTTTTTTTTTTTTTTTTTACATTTTTTGTGTGTGGCTGTTATGGTTCTCTTTGGTTGTTTGTTTTTTGCTGAACTTTTACTGTAGTTGTTCATACTACTGATATGTTTAGGGGTTTTTGTTTGTCCGAAAACATTGATCACAAAAACTTACTTTAAACTAATTGTCACTATACAGTAAATATCACAAACTAATTCTCTGCCTTGCCTTTTTTGTGCCACTAATATATGTGATTGCGTCTTCAACTCCACACGCAAGTCTTCCTTTGTGTTCATGGTAATGCATGTCAGGAAGAGCACTCCATACACATTCACTGATTTATTCACAATATCTGCTGCAAACTTTTCTATTTGTGGTTGTGAAAAGCAAGGAGAGAAAAGCACTCATCAACAGCCAGTAATTGATTCTGGCACTCTTATAGTAAAGCGGTGCCCATGCTGAAATAACGTATTTCCTGGATGATCTTTTGTGGTGTAATCAGACACACACACACACAAAAAGTTTATTGATCAGTTACACATCTATATACTCATAATATATAGTAAAAAAAATACTTTGTCTTTGTGCATTTTTAACTTTAATGTATATCTCAACCCCAACTGTGTTTTAGGGTCTGATGATAAAACTGCATTTTTATTAGTCGAAACGAAGCTAAATCTTGAACTATCCATATGTAAAATAAACGATACACTATCTACAAGCCAGTTAAGTAACGGTAATATAGCTCTAGCCCACCCTTTTCATTCTTTATGTTAATTATATTCTTGTAAAGGTAGACGGACACACATGCAAAAACAGAAACTTAAGCACTTGTTAAGTTAACCTGCATGTGAGTATAAACGCAGTGATAATTTGTGATATTAAAAACTAAAGAGAACCACTTTAGGCTCATTTTTAACGGAAGTGTTCAATTCATTCTTTTTTTGTCTCCACTCGGTACTTGTGGTGGAGGTAAAGTGGCCAGTGACCTCAATTTCATACGTACAGGAGTTGATATGTCAGCATGGGGGAGGAGGGGGGTTGAGTTGATGGGCCCTATTAGTATTCGCGTCCTTTGGGTGCGCAGTGTTGCCAGCCACGTCAGGCCTGTAGCAACTGTTCTTCTACTGCCTCTCCAAGGTTAGATATAGGCCCTTCCTAATAGCTGGAAACACTCAAGGAAACAGACTGGGAGCCGACTTGAGACCGCGAGAGCAGGAATTAAGTTTTTCGACGTTTTCCGGCACAGTTGTACGCTGTGAAATTGTCGCCGTGGACACTGGCCGTGTTATTTCGTCTTAATAGGAGGTTGTATAGCTAAGAAAAGACTGTTACCGTCCGTCTTATTGGTGCTTAATGGAAACGCGCAATCATAAAAAATGGTTGCATTTGGAGAATATCCGTGAATGCGATCGTTCCCTCTTGACATCGGTGCGTCAGAAAAGGCACCTCAGCTAGCTGGAGTCCGGGTTGGGTGTGAAGTCTTCACTGTGCACCGTGTGCTGCTGGAGTGAAGGTGACTTGCGCCCCGTCGCAGTCAAGGCAATGCGGAGAGGAGTCACGGGCGCTCATCCGGTACTTTACCTGCGCTCTAGGGCTCTTCTTGGGAAAAAATTGCTACCTTTCCCACATTAGGAGGAAAGAACGTAAGACATAGAGCAATAATAGCGTTCGAGTTTCAACACAGCCAATAGCTGGCGAAGGTGAGCTGAGCGTAAATCGAGGAGAGAATAAGGTGAACAGTAAGGTGCAGGGTGGTAAGGCAGGAAGAGAGAAAGTGGTGGAGTTTGGGGGGATAAGACCAAATCGTTCTGTCTTAGGGCTGTTTTAATAGTGGATGTGTATGCATGAGTTCTGCATCGAATGGGCGCAAAAATCGCCCCAGATCCGCCGGGAACATCTTCCAGATCGGCAAGCCTCCTTATCGAGACTCACAAAGGAGGGAGAGCACCGAAAGTACCCGCAAAGCCCAGCGCGCCGTGGCCGACTGCAGAATGGTAGGTTTGCGGCACGTTAGTGCCTGCATGGTGCCTCTGATAAGGAGTGCTGTGCTATTATCTCAACCTTTCTTTGTTTAAGGATGTTCCAATACCCCGTGCATGCACGCCGCACAGGCGACAGCTCTTAATAGCTGCAAGAAAAAGAAAAAGAAAAAAAAAGATTCTAACCCGGTCTAGCAGCCTAAAAATAGCTTTATGCATTTGCATTGCTTTGTCGGCAGTGAAGCCAAACAGAACACCTCGGCGTGCAGATTGACTGTGTGATTTGCATTTAAAGTGTGGAAAGCTGCTGGTGATTTGGAATGATTTCAGCATTGCCCGAATGACAAGATTACCCATGGTGGAGTGCATGATCTTGGCACATATGTGCTTTGACAGAAGCTGACAGGAATGATAAAGCCTACTTCACCCTTTCATACATCAGTGATCGTCATGGAGCCTCGCTGTTCGTTTACAGGACTACAGCAGGATGCTATGCAGGAGGTGCACAAAAAGAGCAGAATACTTGTGCCCCAAGCTCAAATTTCGTGGTTGTGCAGACAACCAAATTTAGCATGATGGAAAACCAACCAATTCAACAATCAGCTGGTTTATCGTGCACTCTTACTTTGCGGGCTGTGCTTCACTTTCCGCGTTTTTCGCAAGGATCAATAAGCTTTGGTGACTGCACATGTGCAAGGCTGCAATTTTTGAAATGAAGCACATGACAGTCTAACTGCACATGGAGCATTATTTGTCCCCATTAGTCTTTTTTTGGGGGGG